TTTCTTTCTTTCTTTCTTTCTTTCTTTCTTTCTTTCTTTCTTTCTTTTGGTTTTTCAAGACAGGGTTTCTCTGTGTAGCCCTGGCTGTCCTGGAACTCACTCTGTAGACCAGGTTAGCCTCGAACTCTCGAACTCAGAAATCCGCCTGCCTCTGCCTCCCAAGTGCTGGGATTAAAGGCATGTGCCACCACCGCCTGGCCCTTCCCTGTTTCTATATACAGAAAATACACTGTACAGAGAAAATGCTCTAATGAAAATTAAATGTGCTCTGTGACAAATACTTAGTAGCATTGTGAATAAATACCATCAGAGATTTTTTGACTCAGAGGGTTATAATGTAACATGGAAATCTAATCAGATAGCACAGAGTGGCTCAGATGCCGCCTGCCTCCATATGGATTCAGTCCCGTGGTACCCACCAGCCCTAGACCAAATATTCTGGGGGATGCTTTGCAGATTGCTGGAGTTTGGCCTTGGGTCTCACACCTGAGTTCTCTACTCTCTGAAGTTTGCTGTCTTTGTCTCTCCTTTTATTTTTGTTTTTGATTTTTTTTTTTTGCTCACCCTAGAAAGTGTCTGGGCTTTATCTGGAGGTTCTTCTCCTGTACACCCACGCTTTTAAACTGGAGCAATCAAAAGGCTTGGCTCCCAGTGCTTGTTTCTTATTGAACTGGAAACTTCTAGTTTCTTTGGAAAGTTAGTTATGTCAAATGATACTTTTCTGGGGCACACGAGTGATGTCCTGCTAAAGCAGACATGTGAAAGAATGTTTTCCTGAAGCAGACACAGGTGAAAGGATGTTTTCATATAGCAAACATATGAAAGGACCCGGGATGAAGGAGTATAAATAGTACCCCACAGTCAGTGGGAGAGGAGCACTGAACACTGGTTTGGTTTGCTCCACCTCGCTATTCTTTACTAACAACACACATGGGTTGGTTCACCTTACATAGCGTTGTTGAGCTCAACTTGTGGTAACGCTGCCATTGAGAGAAACTTACCCAAGAACTTCTCGTGCGGTTCCCGAAGCAGCTTGCCACTTCGGTGGCCTTGCCTCAGGCCTGTTGGCGCTGCAGCTGTCTAGTGTCTGCTTTCTGAATGGACTGGACTGTCTGCTTGGTGTCTGCCTGCCTAGAGGACTGGTCTGCAGCTGCTGAATCATGTTTGGTGTTTGCTATGGGTCTGAACTGCTGACAGAGATTGAGCTCACCCCCAAAGAACTGTTGCTGAACAGGTCCCCTTTCCCCACATCTTAATAACCTTTCTCTTCCACTTTCTCTGCTGTGTAGTGGGCTAGAGGAGAGGTTGGACCCTTATTAAAAGTAGGTTGCAAAAAATTTATTCTGACATTTTATAATGGATTTGTGTGTGTACATGAGTGTGTGGCTGCACATGCATCTGAGGCCAGAGCAGGCTGTCTGGTGTCTCTCCCTACTGCTCTCCATTGTATAACCTTCATCAGGGCATTTCACTGAAGCTTATTTCCGCTAGCCCTGCTGGCTCGCATGTTCTCTGTCCCACAGTGCACGGGTTCCAGGCATGTGCAGCCATGCCCTGCTCTTTCCGTGGGTGATGTGGAACTGAGTTCCTGTCTTCCTGCTTGCAGAACAAGTCATTTTACCCATGGGACCAAGCTCAGTTTTGTGCTTTGTTAGAGAAGGTTCTTTGCTTCATCTTGCTCAGAATTTTAGATTTGAAAGGTGGCAGTGGACTAGTCAGTCCTTTCTTAGAGCCTGAGGAAACCACCAAGATGGTTCTTTCAGAGGCAGCATCTCACCAGAAAGCACAGGCTTTATTTATGTGAGTGACTCAAACCCATCAGTGCTTTGTGTGCGATACTGCATGTTTCAGTCATTGGAAATGTAACTGTTATGGCATTGTTACTGCACTTACTGTATTTTGTCTCTAAGAAATACCAAATTGCTATCTACTTTTTTCATATTTTTTCAATTGAATATTTTTTTCATGCACTATATTCTAATTATGTTTTCCCTCCTTCATCTCCTCCCATATCCTCCTTACCCCTCCACGTCCACACCTCCTTTCTTTCTCTCATTAGGCAACACACAGGCAAATAAAACAAAAAGGCCAGAATAAAACAAACAAAAATGAATACATAAAGCATGAGAAACACACACACACACACACACACGCACACACAACCCATAAGACACAAATTGGAAACTGTAATATGATCTTTATAAGGCGGTTGGTCATCCCTGGAATCAACCTCTTAGTAGCTAAAGATAACCGTGTGTTACATTTGCGCTTTTGCATTCTTTTTATTTTCTTCAGAGACTGCAAAAAGAACATTTCGGGAAAAAGGCATCCTGGCTGGAGAAAACAGAACTTTTAAGCCTCACCTCACCTTTATGAAGCTGTCTAAAGCACCAATGCTCTGGAAGAAGGTGAGTGCTTGTTTCTATCTGTGGCCTTGTTTTGCAGGGCACACCAGGCTGTAGCATGGTTGGGGCTGTAAGTGATATTTTGTATTATTTTGGTTTCCTAACCTTCTTGTTCCTGGAACCCTAGGTCAATTCAGTTGGGTTTCAAGGAGGCTGTTAGAGCCTTCTTTGCTGCATGGCCATTAGGTGCACGCTGACACCTTTGATTGCTGCGGCTTCTTTTGTGACTCCTCCCAGGAGAAGCCTCTAGATGGCGCCAGAGTTCGGTCGTGCCTCCTTCTTGCTTTGGTCTTCGGCTTCGTTCAGCTCTCCCATGCTAGCTGGCCTCTGTTCACCTGCTGCTCACTGTAGTCCGCTGATCAAGCCCAGGAAGAGGGATGCTTTTGGGTTCTACTTTTTATAGATCTTTAAGGGATTCCAAAAGACAGCCTTGCGCTTCTAGCAATTGCCTCCACTAAGAGTCTTGAACAAGGGTACCAAGGACTAGTGAGAAGGTATCCATGGGACCCTTCACCTCCAGTGCTTCTCCCCATAGGGTTGAGAACAGTGACAAGCTAAGACCAGTGTCTTTTATCACACGCATGCTCCCACACATGCACGCACACACACAGGTGTGAACACACACCTTTCCTTGATATTTCCATTTTACACACACATGCTGGCACGAACACATGGACACTCGCAAGCACACATGTGTACACATTTTTTCTTGATATTTCCATTTTATACACACACACACACACACACACACACACACACCCTTTTCCTTGATATTTCCATTTCAGCCCAGGAGTTTCTTACCCAAATTAAGTCACGTGCTGACCTCTGATATGCCAGAACTTCTGAGATGAACATAGAGCTCTGTGTCCACTCCCTGTCCCAAATACCCTCTGCTCTGGTTAAGGCTTCAGCTCATGCTCACAAGTAAGTAGAACCCCCTCTCCCCAAGAGGAGCATGTTCTGTTCTCAGAAACATTTTTTTGGCCTTTAAGCATGGGTTTGGGTGATCCATCCTGTGCTCATGAGCTGTCTAAAACTGTTGTTAAAGATGCCCTCAAAAAGATATCTTGCATATTGTTGATAGTTATGTGAACAATTCATTAACATGCACATGAGGCATGTTTACAAAAATCTGTTAGTTAAAGTGACTACGTAAGTAAGCCTTCAGTGACAGCCCGCAGAGCCTGTAGACTGTTTGCTTCTCACTCGCTATCTTTCTTGTTTTGCTGTCAATGGATCGTCGTCTTCCAAGTGGTTTCCCATTTAATCCCAGAGTGACAAACTCAGTTGTGAAGGTAATTCCCCTATTATGAATGTTGGTAATTCCCATATTTATTATAATTGTTGCTTTGCCTTTACGATATTAACTTGCAATGAGAGTACCCAGTGACATTCACCAAATGGATGTTTAAAGGCCCAGCTTCTGGATTTCAACCTTTCAGGCTGTCTGCATGTGGTTTCTTGGCAGTCAGTTGCTCAGAACTGACGCCCCTGTCTCCCCCAGAGGAAAGGGATGTGGCCCTTAGAAGGTTTAAATGCTTTACGTGAGGTCGAATCCTCCAGTTTCTGATTCCCATCTCTGTGTGTACAAACCTGTCTTATTTTTGGTCTCATGTTCTTCCCTCTCACCAGCCCACTCCAGTTCACCCAAGTTCATTTGTAAATATGGGGAGCATCTATTTCACATTGTGAATTGTTTGGTAGCTATTACGTGCTGAGGACTGGTTGCTTAGACCTAGACTGGCAATCAAAATGGAAAGTTTCTGTTTGAATAGTGTGTGAACTCGAAACCAGGTTGCACTCTGTTTAGATTAGAAGGCTTAATCTACAGAAAACAAATGACAGTATTCTCTCTGTTCTCCATGGAGGAGATGTAACAAGGCCCCCAGTAAATGCCTGAAAGCACAGACACCGATAATCACTATGTGTGTTCTTTTTTCCCACGTGTGCTCACTCACTCAGAGACATGTACCGTGGTTTATTTTTGATACATCAAACACCAGCACTGGGTCTTTATTACGTAAATGTAAGACTTAGTTAAATTCTGTGACGCCATGACAGCTGCTCTGATAGCTGATGTGGAGACTGAGTGGCTACAGGGAGGTCCTTGTAGATTAGCAGAGGCAGGCTTCTAAGGCAGCAGGATAGACAGTACACTGACTGATAATTGTAGGAGACACAGTCCTCGAGGTTAGATTTCCTCCTTTCATATAGTCTTCGTCATCTTTTAATGACCTGAAAAGCTATTATCCATGCTAAAGTTAAACACAAATTCAAAGCCTAAGCTGTAACAATTTGTTTAGGAAGGTAAAATAGCTCAGAAGCATCATGGATGGAGCCTGTGCACACTGGGAAAGCACTCAACCCACCAAGCTCCAGCCCCAGGCCAATGCGGCGCTCTGTAAACCACTTATAAAGGGACACTAAAACAACTACTCGATGAGGAGAAATCTCTGTAATAAAACTGAAGGAACACGAATTGTCTTGTTTTATAACCCAAGAAAAATCACATAGCGTCTTTTGTCTTTAGTCAGGGCAAGGATTCTTTGCTCCTGTTATGAAATGCCTATATGGTAAGCATTTTGACCAATAGTCTGAGTTCATCTTATAGAGAGAGGTTTTGTTTTGGTTTGAATCTCCAGCTGGTTTCCTTGTATGAACAGAAGAATGGTGACAGGGAACATCCTCAGGTTCTTCTAGAAAGGTGGTGGCAGTTTAGAAACTTCCTGACTACATACATAACTGTGACGACAATGGTCAAACGGTACATACAACATATTTTTTGTTCTTCATTAACCTCTTGTTGGTCCTGATTGACTTAGAAATGACACAATTAACCTAATAGTAAATGCAAGAGTGGAGTGGAGATTCAAAGCAACTGTTGGCATTTTCCTGAAAAATTTCCCTCAGAATGTCTTCAGAGTTTCAAGACTTACATGATAGAGCAATGTCAACAATGACGTATTAAATAAAGTTAATCTGACTCTTAGGATCTTGACCGTCAGCCCTTTACTGAATGTCTCGAGTTTACAAGGGGTTTCTTTGCACACGTCATGGGTCAAGGTGACTGTGCTCCACACTATGGTTACATAGTACAACTTACCTTAGCACATCTTTGCATGTGGCTTTACATAGCATGTCTTCACATGGCTGAGCTCCCTTTAGCTGGGACTTTGTTGTCTTCTGCAGAAAGGAGAAAGTTAAAGAACCACAAGGCAGTTCTTAAAACCTTTTCTAAGTGTAAGCATCATTCCTGGTCATGTTTTTTGTCTAAAGCAAATCTTCTGGTCATTGTGAGTTCACGGCGCTTATGGGTCACCTTGTAGGGAACATATTGAGCAATTATATAGTTATTTTCCAAGTCATTTTTCCAATGTGCTTGACCAGCAAGTCCCGTTTTCAGTAATCATTTTATATCACTAGTGTTTGGTAGACTATGGTTTAAGAATTAAAAAAGTGTGTATATGCGTGCATCTGTATATACACATATTTTAGTTATTACTTTTCTATTAACCAAGGCAACCTATAAAAGAAAGTGTTTAATTTGGGGCATACAGTTGCAAAGAGTCCACGATCGTTTCAGTGGGGAGCATAGCAGCAGGCAGACAAGCATGGTGCTGAGGTAGGCGCTACGAACCTACAGTGTGATCTCCAAGCATGAGTCAGGGAAGAGGCCGTAGGAATGATGCCAGCTTTTAAACTCTCAGAGTTCCCCTACTTCCCGGTAACATACCTCCTCCAACAAGGCCACACCTCCTAATCAGGTTGGGACCGGGCATCTAAATATGTGAGTTCATCGGGGCCATTCTCACTGAAACCACTATAGCTTGTGTGCATGTGTGTTTGTGTGTGTATGTGGAGTGAAGAAGCACTTTTGTGTACATGCGTATGGAGAGCAGAGTATAACCTTGGGTAATAGCCTTAGAAATGTTGCCCGCCTCCTTTGAGACAGAGCCTCTCATTGGTTTGAAATATACCAGTTGGGCTAGACTGAGAGGTCAGTGAGACCCAGGACAGCCTAAACCAATTAGAAAAAAATGCCAAAGCAGAAAACCTAGGAATGGAAATTAGTTTTAATCTGAGTTTTAGGAGAGATGAGTTGGCATTAATTCTAGAGTTTAACATAGTTTCCTTGGAGTCCTGAAGGGAGGAGACCTCATGCCACAAAGAATGGACTCACCTCAGGAAAGGGATGAACACTGTTTGAGAAGAAGGCAATGTCAAAAAGTAATCCCCTCCCCAAGCTCTTGCCACGAATCAGCTAGCCTTTGCCTGTGGTTAGTTTTAGATTTTTTTTCTAATAGTCTGAGCTTGGACCCAGAGTAGGCTGAGAGGTTTTCTGGGAATCTCTGAGCTCAAACATCATAGAATAGCAGAGAGTCATATGTGCTTAGTGGTGAATGCCAGAGAAACTTGCTGGCCTGGTCCTGTGAGAGAAAGTTAAGGCGGGTGAGCACGGCTGTGTGTGCTGGGTAAGTCAGCCCAGCCGCCCTGCCGCCCTGCCCTTGTCCTGCCATCTCCAGCTCACGTCATTCAGTAGCATCGTCCCTCTGAAAGGCCAGATTGCTGATGATGTCCATGATGTTTTTGGTCATTGGACTAAATGTGGTTGGGACTTCCTGTGCCTGGAGCTTCCTTGCCTTCCCTGCTGTTCCTCTGGAGCCATCCTTTCAACTGTAACTCCTCTACAGTCCGTTACCAGCCTATTGCACACCAGCAGCATCTGCACACTGCCAGTGCTGCTCTGCAGGGATGCTCAGTCTGTATTACCTGTTACAGGATGGCAACATGCTCCAAACCCAAGCAACCCAGGAATACTGTCACTCACCGTACAAACTTAAGGCAGGCCACCTGCTCACGCTGGATATAAATACTGATCTTGGTAGATTAGGCCTAACTGAAACGTTTTTTTCCATTAAAAATACAGTGTTTCTGAACATTTTTACTCACTAGTATTTGAACCCACAGATAAAAATTTTAGTTTAAATTTAAATTTTAAAATA